CAGTGAAAATGAAGGTATAAGGAACCTATCTGAATATAAAAATGGGTTGTTTTTTATCAGTACATGCTATGAATTTCATTTAGACCTTCAGACAGTGAGTCTCAAAGTGGTATGAGGAAGCTATGGCAAGATAAATGGGAGCCAACTGCTCATGGAAGTGGGAATGGAGCAAAGAGCTGGGAGGAGAGAAGCAGAACAATGGCTGGCAGCATCCAAACCACAATTCAGTGAACAGGTCATGGGTGAAACCCACAGAATTTTTGCCATTGACTTCACCCTAGAACTCCAAACTGCTTTACGTTCACCAGCCTGAGCAGGGTGTGATTTTAGGGCTGTTACAAACACATTTGAACTTTCAAATAAAAAATTGTCCCATCAACACCTCACTTCCTGCTCTCATGCTGTGATTGTGCCTGCAGCTGTAAGCTAAGCACAGCCACTCAGCAGGAATAAGCTGTCGTTTATCTACTGGCTTAAATAGCAGTTTCTTAGATTTATTACCTGCCTGATATACTACTTGTGGAATTTGGCAGCTACATGAAGAAAGATCTTATTCCTGAAACTTTTATATTTTAAAATGAAAATGTGTGTGTGGTCTAAACCTAAGTATGTATTATTAAACCTATTACCAGCTGTAGTTTACTGGCAAGGCAATAGGACACATGAAAAGGAAGAACAGGATGCAACTCAGGTAAATCAGAAATCACTTCAGGCTTGATAATATTCATGACTTGTACCTCCTGCAGTAAGTTGGTTAATCGGCAGAGGAAATGCACAGGATCTCTATAAATTATTTAATTCAGAAGTGACAGGAAAAGATTATTAATGAGTGACACTATGATATAATGCCCTCATGGCGAGACCACCTGTAGTTTAATGAATTAACACTGTTAAGAGGATCTTTGCTTGAGACTTATACATTTAATTTAGTTGTGTTAAACATGCCACTTATTTATCTTTATTAATGAGATTTCTATTTTTAGATCTTGGTCTCAACATGAGCAATGGGACAATACAATCAAAAGCTGCTTCAATGATATATACTCTCCAGGGGAAGAGTGCAGTGTTTCTTTGCGCATTCCTTCCATTCTTCAATTTTTCATCTGGTCTTGCAACAACTACAAGCATAAGCCATGACAGACTCAGCATCTGAAGAGCAGGAGATTATAGAGACTAATTAGGTGATGCAGGAGGCTCACTCTTATCAAACAGCTTTAACTCCATGTAATATTTTTTATTACAGCAAGAGAAATGTCATATTTAAATATGAAACCTGCTCCGTGCACAGTTACATTTCTCTTCAGCCTACTTACTTCCCTCACATGGCCATCATCCCAAAAGCTGAAGCTTCCCCTTCTTTTCCTTGACTCTAACACTTCATGCATTTCACCTACTGCTGTCTCACAAATCCTCTTTTGTAACCTGGTGCAAGACCTTATTGAAAATATGGAGCCAATCAAGCCTAAATGAAGCCTCAGGCCCAACCTGGAGAAAATGTCAACATGGAAAAGTCCCACTTTACCAAGCAGTTATGAAAAACAAACAAACGAACAATAGAATCAAAAGTGGTCTCTCCCACAACTCCCCAGCAGAAAACACTAATATAGATCACTTCTGAAGACCAGTTTTGGTGCAGTAAGTTCAAAAAATATTGCAATATCTTCATTATGGAAAATTCTGTAAAAACTACTAAAAAAAACAGGAAAAATCCTTGTGTAGTTGAATCATTTACTCAAAAATCCATTCACTGGGAAATGAAAAGTTAATGAAATTTTTTATCACTTTCTTTGCTGACCTAAAACCACAAAAATGAACTTGTCTTTCTTACAAAAAGTTGGCTGTTACCATAACTGCCCTAGTCTGAAGAAGAGCTAAAGGTCAAGTTACCTTTTATAACTTATATCTTGAAGGAAAACTGAAAGACAAATACAGCTTAAGGTTTATACACCTACATAAAATACTGACATGATCTCCTGCCCAAATACCCCAATATTTTGATTCATTTGTCTTATTTGTTTAATTATATTGAAGAATTCTTTTATTTTCTTTTCCAAGAAGAAGAAAGACAGCAGGATCCTGAGGCAGAGGAATATTTCAATATAAAAGTAAAAGCAACATTTTGTTTTACATACAAGAATGAGAAAATGATCCACTCATGGGAGAGCAAGTGCCTTTGGTGGGTGTCTTGGTAATTTCCTCAGTGCCATCATTTGGTATACAACAGAAGACCATAACAAGAATTAAACATGGAAGCTGTATCTTAAACACATTTTAGAATAGTTACATTCTTGCAAATAATTAACAAAGCTCCCACTATACTAATCAGGTATTCAAATTCACCTAGTGGTTTTGTTGACACCTCCTACACATCTCCTGATACAGCTATGGATAAGATGCAGGAACCATACAGTTATTTTAGGAATGTTTTTATACAGAAGACTGTTGCAAAACCTCAGTAATGATGCAGAAACGTGCAACAAGAAGTTCTTCAGTCTGATGGTGGGTTTTACACTCCTTCTGCATATAAAACCAGAAAACGTCATGTAGCAGAATTAAGATTTTTAGCACTGCTTTACAAACACAGAAGGTATAAAATAATTCCATGTCCTTATAACTTACCGTCACTTATGTCAATAACAACAAGTGTACCTGAAGCAAGTTCATCATTTGAGAAAGCACATTCTATGAATCTGCTCTGCTCTTTACTGAATTCAAAAGTACTAGCAGGTGCACTTTAGAGGCAGATATTTGCTTCTCAGATATTTCAAAGGGGGCAGTGGGCACACACTGGTGTTTGCAGAAGGAGCTGCAGAGCTACAAAGAGCCACAGTGACAGTAACAGGGCCCCGTATGCATCCCCTACTCCAGGAACTAGCCATCAGGCTCAGAGCAGTGCAGTGCTGGCACAGATGAGGGCATCCCCCATCCCTGTGTCCATAGGATGACATGGCTGAAACCAAACCTGGCCATCATGGTCTGTGTCTGATCTCTCTTCCCCTCACTGCGCCTGATCCTGATCCCCTCCCATGGACTGATATTCCATCCCAGCCTCAACCTGTCCATGAGTTGACTATCCTCCACTGGGGTGGTGGGTTCCTGGCTGGTGCCCCACTGACTGGCTCCACACAGCCAGTCTGACTTTGAGCCACAGCAGGGTGTACAATGGCATTTTATGTTCAGTTTGTATAGAAAAACATACTGGTTCAAGGCAAAAGTTTCAGGCCCCTTGTGGGACATTCACCTCAACTGATCTTAAGAGTAGCATCCAGCTGCCTGAACATGAGTGCCTGGTGCCACACAAGGTCCCTTAGGCAGTGCCGTACAAGGTCCCTTAGGCTCTGCCACCTGGCCTCCAGCACTGCCCCAGTAAGGCACAGATTTCCCACCACTCCTGCAGTACACCTGCAGCCTTGCCATGGGCTGGGCCATGTCTGAATGCCTATTCCAGGGAAACTGAACTGAGCCTTGACTGTCTATATCATAAAACTGAAATTCTTCTTCAGTTTAAGCATCTAAATTTAGCTATGACAGATGTTGCCATGGGATACATGTCTAAGCTCCCATCATTGTCAGTGGAGCTCTAGTCAATACAGTCAGGGGATGTAAAGAGCTGCCCAGACAGAAGCTGTTTACTTTCTAGTGGGCTAAATCACTACCTCGAGTGTCAGGGAGCAGCAGGAGTGGTTCTGCTTTGGAAGGGGAGCTGAAAGCTGAGGGTGGCAGCAGGGCAGGCAAAGTTGTGTCCTCACTGACACTGGACAGTCCTGGAGCATCAGTGTGAGCAGAGCTGAGCAATATTAGCTGAAAGCCCCATGAGTCTGTAGTGGCAAGGCAGACCTGAGGCCAGAAAGCCAAATCAAGAAGCCAAGGTCAGGCTCAGGGAGCTGCACTGTGATGCAGGGGCACCCCTGCACTGCAGCTCTGTTAGAGACCAAGAGAAAAGAGCTCCCAAGTGATGGAAGAGCTGCACCCCACTGAGTCAGAGGGACTTGCACAGGTCCCTGGAAGCAAGCTTCATTATCTGCAATGAATAAATGATTTCTCTGTCAGATAGGTATTTTGTGCTTTTGGGATGTCCTAGTGTACCCCTCCTGACACCTAGCTGCTGCTTCAGAAGGGCTGATATCTCCTATGGCCTATCTGCCAGCCCTGAGTAAGTGCATTAGATTATTTTAGGAATTTCAGTGACTGTATGCAGGAATTTAGACACCATTCCACACCACGGACAGTCCTACTTGTAGACACCTAGTTGTAATCTGCAGCTAAATCCCACTCCAGGGGTCCTGCCTGAGCCAACTGTCTGGACTCCCTTTCCTAGCAGTGCTGAGAGAGAAGCAGCTCCAGAGGCAGTTCAGCTCATTTAGGTAAATTGGAGAAATCTCTCTTTAAAGGTGCGCTCCTCTCTCTGTATAGAGGAACCTAGATGATTGATGAGAGAGGATAGCTATCTAATAACCAGCTAAAGTTCAATGAGATGCCCCCCACCCTTTGTGTTTAGATATGTGGCTGTGCAAGGGACACTGATTAAAGTCTGCAGCCTAGTACAAGTTCCTAGTTCAAGGACTTGCTGAGGACAGCTACACTGCAAGTACACCTACAATGTAAAACTCTGCACCTGTGTATTCTCAGCCCTGGCAACACCAACTCCTAGCTCCTCAGCTTCTGTCTGTACCCTCTCAGGATCTTTGTAGAAGCTCTCTGTTTTATCTGCAGCACTTGAATGTTTGATGGAGTAAAGCTGTGTGTGCTCTAATACATAAGGGACCACAGAAAAGCAGCAAAAAGGACCAATTTTCTCATTTTAATCCAATAATTTAGTCAAAGCAACAGTCAACAGGTTGGAGACCTGGGCTCAGTGACGTACTCTAAGCCTTACATACCACTCCTCCAGAGCCATCTCTGAAGGCAGAGAAAAGAAACTGTAGACAGAAAGAATACATGAGAGCATCTAATCAGATGTGTAGAGCACTCATCTGAGAGAGGAGAAATCAGCACTTCAGTTTCTGCATCAGCTATTATTTATTTCATCAAATGGCTGCCTGATATAAACCACAAACATTAATTGGCACAGAGGGTTGTGGTATCAAAGTTCTTTGTTCTTGTTCTTATACCACAAGTAACTATGGATTCCAGTGAAAAATTCATAAAAATTACATAATTCATTTGCTTCTTTATACATCAACTCATCAAAAGCCTATTGAAATAGTTCTTCCTGCTCCCTGCATCACACAACCCCACTAATCAAGCCTGGAAGTTTGTTAAGGTGATTAATACAGCAACTCAGTCTTTTGGCATGGATTGATGTAAAGGTGGAGGACAGAATGAGGACGGAGCCAGGCTCTTTTCAGTGGTGCCAGTGCCAGGACCAGAGGTAATGGGCATAAACTGAAACGGCGGGGGGGGGGGGGTCCCTCTGAACATCAGGAAACACTTTTTCACTGTAAGGATGACCAAGCACTGGCACAGGTTGCCCAGGGAGGTTGTGGAGTCTCCATCGTTGAAGATATTAAAAAGCCAGCTGGATATGGTCCTGGGCAATGTGGTCTAGGGCGGACCTTCTTGAGCTGGGGGTCAGACTAGATGACTTGCAGATATCCCTTCCAGCCTCAGCTGTTCTGTGAGCCTGTGCTTATTTCACTCACGGGGTCTGGAGGAGCGCCAGTTGCGTTGTGTCAGTAGGGTATTCCAAGTGCTTCAAGGCTGCCTCATGAGTACCAAAGGACTCAGGCACCAAAGTTTGGAGACTGCTGAAAACCTCTGCAGAAAAGAGAACCTTGTAAAAAGTAAATAGATTACTCGGGCACATGGCACATTCTGCTTTGCCCTAGGGAAATCTACTGGAAAAGGTCAATGATTCCATTTATTTCTGACCCACTTTAAACTCTGTGCAGAGCACATGATTTGGTGAGCTCATTTACACTGGCTTGAACAGCACAGTGAATATGCCTTGGGTCCTAATCATTTCAATTAACAAAATCTAATAATTTTGACTGAAAAATGAAAGCATACTCTCCCTCACAGCCAAATGCACAGGGTCTCTATTAATTTCTGTCAATCTATAAAGTGCAGTTAGGATTGTCTCCTCTCTTTGAGGGCAAATTCAGTATTTGGCTGCAACCTGCCCTCTTTCCAGTCTCACCTGTCACTCAGTGGGAAATCCACAATCCCAGGAGTTGTTTCAGGACATAGTTTGTCCTTCCAACAAAGGGCATCCTGTTTTTCTTTGTTAGCTGGTCTTCCTTCCCTCAACAAAACCAACAAAAGCCTTACATAATTAAAGCTGTAGCTCTGTTTCAAGGTGTTTTTAAAGACAGTCTGAAGGAATGTATTAACAACAATGCACACAGCAATGTGAGTATAAAATGGTACACAGATTCTCCCTTAAACAGTGAGAAATGGTGAGAAACAAATTGTTGTGTTATGAAAACTGACTGTGCATCAGAAGCAAATTAAAACAATCTGTCAGAGGGCAAAATGTGATTTTTCTGGAAAACTAGAAATATAATCAATGGTGTAAGTGTTTGAAACAATAGCAGAACTCTATTTAAAAGGTTTGTAGCTTTATTTTTCGGTAGCTCCCTCTAGCTCAGCAGCTGGACCAAAATATTTCTAAGTTTAGACCCATGAAGATGCAGACTAAATATAGGATGTAAAACAACACTTTCTGAAAACAAAACTCCAAAATTTTCAGCTGTGGGTGTCTTTGGTAAGAGGTTCACTCTTAGGTAACTGGATGCAGATCTTACTCATTTCAGTGGGAGTTGTGGGACTAGGTATTTCTGAGCTCACGGACATTTTTATCCAGCCATGTCTATGTACATGAAGGGGTTTTGAACCCGATCTTCATTTTCCAAACCATTTCTTTTCAGCTACTTTTTTCACTCTGCTTCCCTATCTAAACCTTTTTCTCCTCCGTTCTTTTCTAACAAAGAAACACATCACTCTGCTGAATCCTACACATCTCCAGTCTGGAGATCTCCTTGCTATACCATCAAACTACCTAATTTTGATGACACCAGGAGGAATGATATTCCCCTCTAGTAATACTGGAAATACCACAAGATGTTGCTCAGTGAAGTATTGATTGGTTTCATTTCATGTCATCTTTCAGTAACATATGGAATGTAAATTCACAAGTTGTAGCAACAAAACAGGAGGGAACAAGTCCTGAAGTCACAGACTCCTTCATAAAGTTGGGGAAGTTATCATGCTGTTCAGCCATCAGAAGTCCCCCAGGAGGTGCAGGGCCAAGCCTAGCTATTACCAGGTGTGGTGTGCATATCTTTGAAGATATTCCCCTTCTCCAGCTGCAGCAATTAATCTCATCCTGCATAATTTAAATTGAATTGCTGGGAAGAGTCTGGTTAATGTTATCTAGCAAGAAGGAGACACTTCTCTTCAGTATATGCATAAAGAACAAAACTCCAATAAAACTAATTGGGATCATTTTGCCGTCATGACCTTATGTCAATCTTAAGTACAGAAAGTAACAGTAATCACAGAATAAACATCAGGCAACAATATTGTTTCTGGCTCAAAACAAGAAAGTTAATTTCAAAGTTGGAGCAGTTACTCTTTTCCACATAAACTGTAACACTTCTTCAATGAAACTTGACCCACTCAAGGCAGAATGAGAACTATCCTCCTTTAACAAAACAACATATGACTACTCTGTCCTCTTATCTATGACTAACCCCAATTAGAATTTACTCTTTTTATAAATATTCAGGCATCATTTGACGTACTGTTGAAGCAAGATAGATCTGAAACCATTCTGGAAGAATCACAAAGATCATTCACAGGAGGCAAATGCACTCATCTGTGAGAAATGGGAAGTGAAAGCTCTACAAGGATGGAGCACTCTCAAAGTATCTGAAGCACTTGATGGATCTTTTCCCACCCTCTGTGATTAATAGAATGCATAAGCTGTTCAGTCTCCAAGCATTTTGCTTGAGGAAGCTTTGATTTGAAAAATGAGACAAGTGCTTCCAGTGCTGTCATTGATAGGAAATTAGGTGATAAAAGAGAGCGCATTTAAGCAGCTCTTAAATATTCATAATTAGAGCTGTCAAACTGCTATACTATCCCTCTCTCTTCTTGCATTTACCCAAACGTTCTGTCAGGAGTAATGAAAACAGCAAAGCCAGGGGGATGCGACAGTACTGAAGTGCTTCAGAAGTAATCACAGGAGGACACCCACAGTGTGGTGGGTTTTTTTGGCCCAGACCACAGTACAGATACAATCATCAAGTCAGATGTACCTAACAGTTAATTTGCTATGTTGTGAGGTTTTGAGTTACTTTTCCTTTAATGAATGGCACCATCAGAGGCTTCTCCTTCTACTACTTCCCCTCTGTCTGGTGCAGTAACAGAGCATTTGACTTACCAGCTTTTGATTGTTTTTCTAGAATTCCATCCCAGGATGATTTTTCTCATGACTGTGAAAAAAAAAAGAAAAAATCATCTAATGCAAAATTATTATAATAATTAAAAATGGCTAATTTGTTTTAATATTATGAAAAAAATTATATGCGTATATAGATCTTTTGTTTTCTCACAGAAGAGGCTCTCAAGACAGGATATCCCAAATATGAAAGCAGCTATACTCAAAAAAGGAGGGATTCAATTGTTATGAACTTCATTAACTTTTGTTTTAGCAAGTTATTAATTTAGAAGAACTCCAACTCAGCTCTACTTTTTTGGTCAATGCGGCAAGAAACTGCAGAACTTTATCAGCAGCCTGAGATGTGTTTGAACAGTCAGCTGTGCAAGCAAAGCAGCACTACACATTTCAGGTTGCTCCTGACTAGACCAAATCTCTGACAGGCGTTTCCAGACAAGCAATATCTGCTTGGGTGCAAATTCTCACCATTTGGTTCATACCTACAAAAACATCTGCTCCTACAGAAGACAATCTTTGCTTCTTTTATGTTTTTCCATACAGCTTCTAAAGGTCTTTCTGTATTGGGAGGAACACAAGCAAGCTATAGCTGCAGCAATTCAGGTGCAGCCAAGGACTTAACCTGATGTAAAGCAAACTGCAGTGACTTCCAGTTGCCTTCAGTGTCCACTAGGTTGACCCTTAAGGAATAGCAAGGGTGGACTAGAATGTGTCACATAGCAACTGTAACTACTGCTGGGACCATTTCTAAACTAGAACAGTTAAAATATTGACTTGAAACCCACCTGAGAGGCAGAGAGCAATACAAGGCAGTAATTGGTAGACAGTAACATCGTCCTCTGGTTTTGGTATAGGAAATGAAGACAAATGGCTTTGTGTGCGTGAATAATCAACTTACTTCCAAAGACTTTGGGATAGGTCATTTCCCTATGCTAATGAAACAAGACTTACTTGTAAAAATGACACGGATTGGCATTTCAGTTTCATGAAATGAGATATCTCTCTTTTCTGAGAGGTATCACATGGTTAGAGCTAGGAAAAATAACTGATTGACAAAAAATATTGATCATATGGAAACTGATTTTATAATAGCAAGCAATGAAAAATCCCAAATACTCCAGAAATGGAACTGAGTCCAGGACAGACTGTCCAGGTGGAGGATGCTGTACACCCCTGCATGCCCAGCTCCAGTATCACATGAATCACCAGCAGACTGGCTCACAGCTGCACATAAGCACAAGCACTTGCAAAACTGTAAAGGGCTGTAAGGAGGACTGGACTTTATGGCTTGTTAGGCTGTATCACTATGATAGTCTTTCTGGAACAAGCAAGACACTATTCTTCATTCCTTTGTGACAGTGGTGGGTGGATACCGAAACATTTCTGCTGTCACTTTTCGATTTTATGTTATGTAGCTTCACACTGAGCCTTAATTTGCTTCTTTTTATAGCTCAAGTGTAAGGAATACAGTTGAACAAATGTCACTACCCCCCCCCCCCCCCAAAGAAACAACAAACCTGCTGTGAATATTGATTTGCATTTCTGAACAAATTCACTGGGATTACACTCCTAGCTCGTTTCCAACAAGTAATCCGGTGAATTCTCTAATGAGAAGCAACTGCAACAGTGAGCTGGGAATGCTGTGCCTCAGCCATCAGGCAGGATCAGGTCTCCTGGGGACAAGTGAAGGGGCTTTGGCCAAATACCTTAAACTAGTCACCCCTTCTCGCCTAACAGGACCTGGCTACAGCTACAAGGACAGTGACACAATCTGGCTTCCCCTTCATGCAGGTCGGGACATCCAAAGCCCTCAGGGAGGCCATACTGAGTTTCTCCCTCAAAGTCTGCAGGAATACAGAGCAAAAGATATTGGAGACTTTTACTCCCTCCCCATTCCTTTGATGGATGGATCCACAGAGCTGACCTACAGGTGTTTTGGGAATCACTCCTGAATTTGGTAGCATGCGTGGGGAGCAGGGTGCATCCTGGTGTAATAGAAATACATAAAGCATAGCTGTATAAGTGCTTTCTAGTGCAAGGAGCACCCTGGTTTTAATGTTATACTGAAATATTTACAGTATCTTTGTCTTTGACCATGCAGAATAAGCAAGAGAATATTGACAGCACTATAGAAACAGAGCAGCAAGTAAACAGCTTTAAATCCAGAGTCACTGAAGCCAACAGGAAATTTCTGAGGGAGCTGGACTGGATCACACTGTTGACTACCTCTTCACAGACATTTTAAAGACGTTATCTACTGCTTTTATACTGTACCCAGAGCATAGGCTGCTGTACCTGAAAGCCTGTAGTTTCAAAGAGAACAAAGAATAGAAATTGCCACCTCTCTTCTTTCTCTCACAAGAAAACTGGTTCATTTCTAGTGCGATTTTCTGCCGGTCCATCCCTCAACTGACTCACCTGAGGTCAGGCAAGTGCCAGTGGCACATGGGAGTGGCAGGGTTCCACAGCCACGGAGGCAGGGGAAGAAAATGGCACCACAACCCTCTTTTGGTAACACACAGCCCCTAAAGAAGTTATCTGTATTATCACTGCGCCGTGAATGTCCCAGCGCATGAGTCTCCTGGCGCTGGATGAAATACATGCAGCTGCCATGAGAGGCTACCAAGTAGCACAGAAGATTGCCTGGAGTAAGATCTCTGGGCACAGGATCCACTGGATAACACCAGTCTCACTGCCGTGCACAACCACTTCTTGACATTACAGGTTGGATGACCAGCTGCATCTGGTATCTCAGGTCAAAGAATTGAAAGTAGGTGAGACATAGTTGGGGCAAGAAGAGAGCGTTTAGCAAGGCCAGTCAAATAAGTCTGGCCAGTTGACTGGCCTGCTTTCCACCTTTAGCCCTCAAGAAATTAGTAAAGATTTTCAAGGAATTCCTTAAGAATTTTGATTACTACACCCATTTATAGCTTCATCATCATCTCAAAGCACCCAAGTGCAGAAGAAAAACAGACTATGACTAAAAATGTAAGCAACAGAAGAAAAGAAACAGGAAAAAAGAGTGGAGGAGGAAAAAAAATAACTCTTCAGAGGAGATAAAAAGAAGGAAACAAGAAGGAAAAAAGATTCTGGATAAGGAATATATATGTAATACCTGGAATGGTCTCTACCTGTCAAGGTCCCACACAAGAAAGAGAGGATCCTCTCACCTACCTGTGACACCTACATAAGGGCTATACTTGAGTTACTCAAATTGCGACTAAGTTTACTTGAGAGATAAAGGCACTTCTAGGGGAAGCTTTGCCTTGTCTCAAAGGAGATATCCAGAATATCTAGTGTTTCTTGTTTCTCTCCACTGACTCTAAAAGGAGCCTAAACAACCAGCTGTGTATGGACACCTATAGTGTAGACACCTACTTAGTTGAGGTTAATACCACAGTAATGTCCCCCAGACTCCTGCATGGTCTCATCTGCTTCTTGACATACTCTGAGCTCTGTGTTTCCCACTTCTCAAAGACAGGTGCTCATCAGACAAAAGCTGACATACTGCCAAGCTGGAGATCAGCTGAATGCTTGGGAAACCAGGACCTGGCACACAATACACAAGACAGGTAGACTAAGATGTCCCAGGGTATCACTGACATGCACAGTCAGTTTCTAGCCATAAAGCCAATGTCTGGACAAGTAGCAATCAGTGTATTCCCCCTACTGTGAAGACTTTGATAAATAACGTAGAAACAGCTACTATGTCTACTTCAAATTTGCCAAATACAACTGCCTGTGGTAATCTGCCCTCCACAGGCTGGGTTCAGCTCCTGTGTAAATCTTGCTGAAATCAGGGAGAAGCCTTAATAGAAACAGAGCACAAGCCCTAGTAGAATGACAATAGCAGGCACATTAAGCAGCATACTAATTCAGTTCACTAAATTGGGCACTTTCCCACTTTATTTAAATAATTATAGTGAAAGAGACATTTATAGAATGAAAAGTTTGGAACAAAGTTCAATTTAAACAAAACTGAATGAAATAAAAAGGTACATTTTCAGTTGGCAGAAAGAAATAGACTATATTTGGATTTCGGTCAGAAATTCAAGGACTGTTTTTATCGCCTCTAAATATGGCAGCAGAATTCTGAGGTCCCTGGTTCTGGAAGTGATTCTGGAGGCACATCCTTTTTGGAAGAAGATTAGGGTAATTTTCCACACATTTGTGTTTATTAATAGAGAGGGGAAGAAAGTTTCAGCTGTCTCAGAATTGATTGAACCTTGTATGAGCCTCAGTGCCGCGAAAAGCTTCTGTCCAGAGCTTGTACTTCCTGCTTTTAACAGGCATCTTGCATCAAAGCATTGCTATTTTTAGTCATCCACCTCTTCTTCCCAAGAGAAGTTGAAAAGTTACTAGGAATTCATGATCCATCCAAGAATTTACTTTTGAATATGTTTTCAGGCAGGTATTCAAGTAAAATGATGCTGATTTCAATTCACGCTGATGAGTTAGGCCATGAACGGTGATGATCCCAGTTTATGTCCGTGGTGGCCTTCCAGAGGGTGCTAGCAGAATATGCAGACCCTTGCTGAACAATGGCATGGCTCAGCTACTTTCCTCTTTTCTGGGCTGCCAGCCTGACTAATTGCTGGCTTTCAGTATTTTTGGACGGATTTGGGCCAACAGCCAAATGACCTTGAGCTCACTGTGTTCTGCCAGCTGTTCTGTGACGCTCCCTGCCTACTTCTCTCTTCCCTCCCAGTTCTCACCTGCAGAGCTCAGGGGTGCCGGCTCACCCCAACAGGACAACTTCCCTTGCCCCCTTCTATCCAGCAGAAAACATTCTTCAGACAGAAAAGGCCACATTTCTCAAACTTGTTGACTTCAGTGGAATAACTTCAGGTTTTACCTGCAAACCAGAGTGGGGATGTGCAGTGAGGACCTCTGACATACCAGTGGGGAGCTCTGGGGTGACACAGCTCTTCCAACACTTTTGTGCTCTCCACACCTCTGACCTGAATTAGGCAGGAGGCACTTGCCAGGGCTGAAGAAGCACTGAAAATTGGAATATTTCCATGATCCAGAGGTGTGATTGCAGTTCTTCCAGGCACACTTGAGTCACCTTCAGCTGCTAGCTCTGGCACAGACAGCAAGCATTTCTGCACAGACTGTGCAAATCTACCCAGGACCCTGGGTGAACATTTGGCTGCGAATGTCCTCAATGTCCCGGATCCCCTGTTATCTGTACCCATGCCAGGAAAATTCAGGTGAGCTCAGGATGGAAAGGAGAGCCACAGTCTGCCCCTTGAACTGCAGAACAGCAGAGGTATAAACCCAAACACTGAGTACATGGGACCTCTTGGTACTTTGAAAATGCAAGTGCAGTTGTTGGCACACTGGATGGAAGGGATGTAAACAGACTACACATCCCTCCTGAAAACCTCCTGTGTACCTACACCTGCACCAATCTCCCTCTGAAACAGCATCAGGTTAACTATGCATTCATAGAATCACAGAATCATTCAGAGGCTTTTAAACCTTGTGATGGTACTGGAAGAGGAAAGCAGAAAGCAGGGCACTTATATATAATGAAGGCATTTACAGAAGCAAGACTCTTTATCTGTTTACTGTGTGTTACCAAATAGAGGATTCTGTGAGCATGTGCATCAGATAATTGTGAAAAATGTATCTGCATTATCTTTGTTAAATATCTCACTAATGTGAAAGAAAGACTAAAGGTCATCTGTCAAATGTAGTTGTGAGGCAGGAAACAAAAATCTCTTATGTTAGATATCTTGAAACCTTTAGGCTCATGATACTTTTCTGGAACAGAGAAAATGTGATCAATGAATCATTAGGAGTCCTGTGCCTGACAATGGAGGTCAAGAGTGCCTTTTGATGATGAGTTTAAGATGCTTTTATTAACCTGTCTCAAGATGGTTGATTGCTTTCTAATGGGATGAGACCCTCTGCAGCACTTGAATTTTAAGTATTTAGAGATCTTCACTGTCAAACACTTCTCAATAATTCTTCACAATAAATGAATTATTGTGCAAATGAAACTCAAGGTAGTTTTTAATAAAATCAGAGAGATTTTAGTATTCTATAAAGACTAACCATGCTTTACAAAGTATTTTCTAAAATAAAGGTAACTAATAGGAAGAAACCTGGAAATGAATGAGGAACTAGGTGGATCTCATTTTCTTTTCACACTAAGTTTCTGAGTATGTAAATACACTAATTTCTAATTCTAACTGCCTCCAGTTGAATTCTGGCTCATTTATAACAGTGCATATGTGAGAAGAAATTAATTCATTTATGCTCACGTCCTAAGGAGCAAAGCCATTTTCAGCCTTGATGCTTTTTGATACAAAATCTATTTTGTATCTCATTGGCTATATAGATTACATTCTCATTTGCTTCACAATTCTGTTACACAGAGAAGTGCAAAGGGATGTCTGACTACATGAGAATCAGGCCATCACACATAAATTTTCACTCCTGTTTCAAGATCCCAGTTCCCATTTCATTCCCGAAGTGCATAACAAGTAAATCCTTTTAAATCCACCAGAAATAATGAATAGCAAAACAGAGTAAGGAAGATCTTAATTAGAGGGGATGAGCAGCAATATTCCATATATAAATGGCTGCACATTTTGTAGAGTTAGAATAGATAGGATTTTGTTCATGCGCCCTTTTTAAAACTCTAACAGTTTAGGCTTTCTTCTTGAAAAGTAGATTGAGTATCACTTCTGAATTTATAAGCAGCAGAGGACAGTGTTTCATTAGGTCCTGCCAACCCCAACTATTCTTAGTAGATGAGTTTCCTGTATCCTGTTTTCACCTTATGATATGTTAGAAAACAACTTAAGTCACTAACTAGGCTGGTAGCTGTTCAAATTCATATAACTTCACTTATTTATTGTGCAGCTATGTGGCATAATGCTCAATTGTCTCATCTGCCATCTGCTTTAGTGTCAAGATGTGCTTTTTCCAAGTGACATTCTGCTGTCAATTGAAGCATTCTTGACATTTCTAGATGTCTTTGTTAAGAAGTTTGTGGTCTACTTCATGTTTCCACAAGAAAGTGTTACTGATCAGTACCACCAGTACCATGGGACTTGCTGTTTCTGGAAGACTAAGGGACTGCTCACCCTGCCATTTCTAGGCAGCACTCTAGAAAATTCTGAGGCTTTGCAGTCATTTCTTCCAATTCCCTGCCAGTTTCACTTCTCAGTGAAGGATTCCGATGGCTTCACCTGCTCTGTTTGATATTTTGCTCTTTACTTTCTCTACATGTTCAATATTTTTCTGACACTACATGCAAGTATGAAATCAGAAAACTTAATGCTGGTTGTGAGGCCTTAGTCATCTCACACAGGTCAGGACTGCAAAGAGTTAATATGTTATTGAGATGCTCAGCTTACTGTTCTCAATTTAGTACGGACTGTGTACTGTACTATGGTATACTGTGTACTGTATTGCAGTCTATAAGGGGGAACCTCTCATTAGGCAGCACTTGTGCACAAAACATTGTTATACTGCCTCACAAGCCAAATATGAATCAAGTGTGTGATGATGAAATAAAAAAATTAGCCAGTCTTAGTCTTGGTGGGGGGTTGGAACTAGATGATCTTAAGGTCCTTTCCAACCCTAACTATTCTATGATTCTACAATTTGAGGTACTAAAAGGGAGGCCATTGGCAAGACCTGGGAAGTACGTTACTGACTTTCATTTGGCGTATCAGTGCCTAAGAAAGATGTAGGCATATTTGAAAGCTTTCAGGGGGACAGCAACAAGAATAAAAAGACTGGAGAACCAGCAACAGACAAGGATGGCTTAAAAGCAAAACTATCATCACTGTAATTTCTGGAGGTCCTACCCATTTGCCACGCTGCAAGTGTGTCATTTTTGAATCCCTGACTCAATTCTTTCAGCCCACAAACACGAACATGTTCTCTTGAGGATACTTTTAAAGATCCCAGGGAACTGTAGGGAACTGTGGGAGAGGCTGTCTTGCTGAGGGCTCATTCACAGTGCCCACGTGGATATAATGCAAGTTACAAGGACGTTAATAATTGTTTTAGTATCTGCAAGACTTTTTTTCCCCTCACATACTGCTTTCAACAGCTTGGCCTAATTGTGTTCTTTGAGGACACCTAAGTGTATCTTGCAAATATTCGCCTAACTAACTGTGTCCTAACTGTATCCTCAGAAACAAACACCACAGAGCAACTCTTCAGCCTGATTCTGTAAAGATGTGTCCCTTCAATTAGTCCCACTGACAGTCTGTGCACAAAACTAGGCTTGGATAGCTGGCAGAGCTGATGTAACCCAAGGCCAAGTCACACCTGTCAAGGATTAGGCTGTAAACCTGTACTGCAGCAATGAGAATATTTGGTTCACAAAAGCTTTCAGGAATAGGCCCTGCATAGATTTCATAATGCATTTAAATAACTTATCTTAGACACTGCAAAAAATAAATGGTTTGTGCCACACAGAAAAAGGTCACAATGACACATTCCAACAAGAGGTAATTAACGTATTATTTGGCATTTCATTTGTCAGTTCTTATAACATGGTGCTCATGGCCAGCAGTTACACAAGGACTCTGTTAGCAGAGAAAAAGTTCATTAAGAATCTCTAAAAGTTGCATGCAACCATTATTAAGTATCACAGAAGGTATTTGCAGACTTCCACTTTTCCGCTTTAGGGTTTACACTGAGAATAAATACAGTTTCTTTGCGAGGTGCTTCCGATAAAATATGTATGCTGAAACAAAATATACGTCCAACCATCCATGCTCTATCAGCACATAGGCTCCTTCATTTTGATACCACAGTAAGAATGAGGGGCTTTGATGTTTTGCTCAGTGAAATACGCCACTGGGGGATTTTTCATCCAAAACTTGCAGTTAAATACACACCTCACTTCAAACCCTGAAATCAGCAGGACTCTTCATGTGCTTGAATACCTTCCTGAATCAGGCTGCAAACAACTGGCATTTTCCCACATAGCTTAGCTAATGAAGCTGAGAGATGAAGCCAGATAGCAGCCAACATATGTTGGTTTGTCTCAACAGCTCTCATCTAACATTAGCTCTCATTACCTTGCCAAGCCCCGCTCACTGCCCACAACTCACGGAAAACCTGGCTAAATTTTGCACTTCTCTACCTAACAGTCATGTAATGGCATGCTTTTAGTGCTGCTACAGTGACAGTTTGCTAAAAATATACAGCTAAAGTGTGTCTTCTGGACTCTGAAGTTCTATCATCCCATTCATCTTCAGACAGAAGCATAGTCTGAAAGCAACTTTTCCTTTAAAATTGCTGTCATGCTCCACCCTGAAAGATGGCAGAACAAAAAGTATTTCAAGTGATTTCATGGACATGTACATCTGGGCGTTTTGCAAAGACTAAGTTTGCAACAATCTGTTGAATTTTCTATATCATAATGAAATCAATTCAGAATCATAGCCATGTGTCCTAACGGATCACATCTCAGCAAATCTGCGCATAAAAAATGATAGGTTTCTAAAAGGAAGGGATCAAAGCTCCAGTTCAGAAGGTTCTTAAATTCATGCTCAATTTTATCTGCCCGGGTTGAAACATTAAAATCTAAACAAAGGGAAACACGCGTGGTTAGCTTGCAAAACAATCATTCTTAGCTGAACGTAGGTAGAAAGACAGATTGACAAGTATATTTTATTCCTATATGTATGTAACCTTAAACTAGTATAATTTACATGGAAAAGGACAGCAATCAATACTGCAGTAGAAGTACATTTTTCCTATATATAGAACAAAGATTCCATGCCACCTTGAAGACTACTGCTGAATCCATTGAGACTGTGTACACAAATCTGGGAATTTCCAGTCCAAAAGCAGCCTTTTTAGCAAAGGAGATGTTTGACAGTATCCATCTAATTTTCTTTTTGTTCAAACTGTTTGAGTTTAGAGGGTATATTTAGAAGATACAGGCATAGTGTCAGATGTTTCCATCATAATTCATAGCCTGAACAAGAGCATCTCCCAAGACCTGTGTATATCCTCAGTACAGCCCTAAGCCACCTAAAGTTTTTTTTTGCTTTCTCTAATCAGCAAAAAACATAATGAGAATATGCTTTATCTAGAGCTGTTTTGCACAGCTTGAGTAAATTGGAGTGAAGGAAAAGCTGCAGTCATTCAAACCATTCATTTAAAGAGATGTTGCTCTCCTTCTTCCCTACTGATCCTCTACAACTCATTTATGAAGTATTTTTCCATGTAGCTTTCCTCTTCCTCCCTCTACTCTCTCCAATTGTAAATGTCTGTATTTTCACTGATGTAGGATACAAAGGCCAGCAAAGGTCTTACCAAGTGAGTGAAAAGCAACTGCTTTCCAATACATAGCACTGCCCACACCAAACGTACAGCTGGAATTTTCCATGATCCTCTAGTTGATCGATAACATCAATAATGGTTAAGTCATAAGCTTAATTCACAACTCAACTATTTCTCAAACTTACCACCAACTATTTCTCAAACTTACCACCACCTGTTTCTCACACTTATGACACCATTCAAACATATCACACCATTTTTATCAGTACATTATAAGAAAGTTAAGCCTGGCTCACATAAGAAAGTTAAGCCTGGCTCACTCACGCAATTTAGTAGGTACTTCTCCCAGGTCCCCAGGAGTGATCTGTAAACCTGCAGCAGAAACACACGTTCTCACACACCTTGGCAAAGCAGATGGCTGTTTGGTCCACCAACAAACTAGTCCAGTGATACACTGTGGACTGGAACAAAGTTGCCCCACAGATCAGAGGAATTCAAGCTTGGTGCATCACAGAAGTAATTAGAAATACTGACATGATCATGGTATAGACTAAGAATAGCTTCAAATACAAGAGCAAATAAGTAAACACAGCAGAAATAACAGGCCTTTAAGGTCTGCTTATTAATGCAGTGAAGGATAAATGACAGAAGGGATGAGAGCAAAACAAGGATCCAGGTGACAGGTTACTTGGAGCACCTCCAAGGCACTCCAGATGGGTCTGCAAGAAGTCAGGAAAGCACTGGGAAGCCCAGAGAGGAGACAGGTGCAGGATCATCTTCAAGAGAAAAGGAAGATGTCTTTGTCAGAATTGGGGATATTTGGAGATCTTGAGTGCAAATACTAGTAAATACCTTGTAAATACTAGGAAGAAAGGAGCAACAGTGCAGCCCAGCACACACACTCCTATTTCCATACAGCACCTCATGCTAACAGGTAGTCCCAGCAGCAAAGACAGAACATGAGCTGTGTGAGACATCTGCAGGCTTTAAACCAAGCGTTAACATTATTGCAGATTCATTTACCCCTGGCTAAAGAAGCAAAACTTTTCTCCTTTTCACTTACTATGTGAAAAATACTTATTTCTCTTCATTTTATTACTTCTAACTACTGCTACACACAGAACTGCCCTCCCCCTTCCTTAGAATTTCCTTAGTAACTGAGGAAAATTACAGACTTGAGCAGCTCCCACAGTGCCTGTAGAAGGAGTCTGGAAACTGAGATTCTACCCCATTTTGCAGGTTTGCCCCTTTCCCTGTAGGGCAGAAGCTGCTGAACAGAGGCACACTGCAGAAAACTAGAGGAATAAGGATGCAATGTGCAGAACAGCTGATTTGTTTTTGTGGTGGCATGAGGGAGGCTCTGAACAGCTCAGAGAATCTCATCCTCTCTGAGGACTCAAGAGCTCTGACTGCAGATTAGGACAGGGATTTCCTGTCTCAGCTCTGAGGGCTCAGATTCATCATCAGCAGGGAGGTTATCTTGTGATGGCCAACATCATTCCTGTTCCCAGTTATCCCCCGACCCCTCTGAGATGCTCCCAAACTCTTTGCAGGAATTGCTCTTTGCTGAGCAACCTGTTTAGCCACTGGTTTAGTTTATAGTGTATTATCATAAGGTAACACTGAACTGCTTCCAGTTTCCTTTAATGAACCAAGCTACAAGATCTGGTTGCTACAGGAGGAGTCATGGGAGATCTCTGCTGCTACATAAACAGTTATGCCATCTTCACAAGACAGACTTCTTCCAGAAGAGGTAGGCTGCTGTAGGCATGAACCATGATTTCTCCTCCAAGGGAAGCCATCCCTGCTTGTGAGTCAAGCTGTGGCTGATTCCCTCAGTGACAAAGCCAGTTTGAGAGACTGATATTCTCTCTCGAATGCCTAGGCACACTTTCACACTCCCACCCCACCCCAGAAGCTACCTCCCTCAACTATGCTGATTCAGCTACCTTGTGAGCATGCTCTAAAACCTGTGAATTGATTGTGTTAATTTATAGGACTTATTTTTCAGTGCAAGAACTATTTTAACCAAATCTGATTTCACTGGGTAACAACATAGAGGCACAGCTTTAATCTGTATGACATTCAAAATTAAATATATTTATCAGAAATTCACCTAATTTACACCAAACCACAACATACACCATAGGTAGAAGTTCATAGAAGCTTACAGAAGATATTTGCCTTACATGAATCACCTGTGGTTACATGTGGTTGAAAACATTCCTAATATCTTGGATTGAACCTATAAAGTGCCATATTCCTGGGTACAGAAAGATCTAAACCAAGAGATTTTTTTCCCTTTCATTGATAACCATCAGCGGAAGACATATTAGCAAGACCTTGAAGTGACTACAAGCAATGTAATTGAAACATCAAATTTGAAGCGCAGCACTTAGTACCTTTTACTTGGACACCTACAGTGTACATTATCAAAGTAGCTTGTGGGAGGCAGAGTTGCACACACAAACAATTTTGCTGCTTCATGGAAGAACCTGCATGCACGGTCTCCACTCCTCATCACACCGCCTTCAACGTGTATTTCATCACGCTGGTGTGAAAGGTAGCTTTAAGAACACACTACTCTGAAAACACATTGAGGACAAAATTCCCTCCTGATTTATCAGCCTTGCTGATAAATGGAAATGTGGAGGATAAAAGGTTACAAACAGGGTCTGGGGTCCTCTTTCCTTGCCAACTGTCATGTAGTGCTGAGGTTTTGAAAACACCTCTGGCAAGCAGCACTTCAATCACTGTCACACAGGAAGGGCTGGGAGAAGATTCAGGCAGTTGTGGTGCATGAAATGGTTGTGGCACATGTATGAAATGATGCTTTGATCTATGCCTAGCCTCAGGTTGAAAGTTTCCCTGATAAGCCACTGAAGAATGATTGTCCTAAATGCACTGCACTGTCTTGCTTTGAGATCGAGTTTCATCCCTCTTCCTTTAATAAAAATCAACATTCAGATCTCACATGCACACATGAATGTTGCTATCTGACAGGCTTAGCCATGTGTATGCAGTATTTGCACATGTACATAAAAGGCTGATTTTCCTATTGAAAACATGTCCCAGGAAGCTTTTTCTAAGGCCACGGTTAGAAAATTGACTAATGAAGGCATTAGAATATAGGAGCTGGCACAGTCATTGTCAGCAGACATACAGAGATTAATGTTACTCTCAAATTCACATTTGAATCTGATTTGTGTCCTTCTACCAGTAAAACTCCATAGTGACTATGGCACATCCTTTGTGTCATCGATGAAGACTTGCATGTTCCATCTCCCTCCCAGTGTCAGAGACATTTCCAACCATGGACCAACCCAAGAACAGAGGAACAGGTTTTGTTCTTCTCGTTGCAAAAATATGTTCATTGGTCTTTTTTTTTTAACCTGTAGAAGTAATCTTATGTCAAAAAGTAGGTCTACTGTAGACAGGTGATGAGAAGGAATGACCCTGGAAAAAGAACACATTACTATGCTGCTGTTCTTCCCATCACTGTCTGATGAAGTTCTCACTCTGTTCTTTAAATTGTCCTTAAAAACACCTAATAAAACCAAGCACATCATTGCTGGTATTTCTAATATTAAGACCACACTACAAGAAAACTTTCTTTAAAAAAATAAATTAGGTCACTGTAAAGCTCATAAAAAAGCAAACCACATCACAGCCTGATTCCCTAATGC